CCCTGGTGCCCCAGTCCCACTCTCCACCAGAACCGGGACAGTCCAGACCCCCTTCTGGGACGTGGCTGCTGGTTCACCCCCCAGTGTGGACATCTCCTTGTTGTGTCGGTTTGCCTTCCTGTTGCCTCGTTGCACCGCAGTCCTGGCGGCAGCACTGACCTGCACCACCCCTGCCCTGTTCCTGGGCCGGGCTAGAGACTTAGATTTGAGATTGCTGTGGAGGCGACGTTGCCACGTGGCATTGGTGTGGCGTGGGCTGCTCGAGCGGCTGAAACATTGAGAAGGGATGGGCCCCGATTTTTGCCATCTCCTCAAAGTCAACTCACGGGAGCTACGGAAGGGTCATGTCTTAGTGCCTGCTTTGGAGCACCGGTCCTTGTTCTCCTCTCTCCCATCTCAGAGAAGGCCTTGAACTTATGTCAGAACTAAAATGGACACAACCGCCCACCCTGGCAATAGGGTGGGACCTGTGAGGGGCAGCGGCTCCCGTCCGGGGCTCCCCCGGATGCCGCCCTGAGGCCGACTGGTGCTGCGGAGGGTTCGTGGGCTCAGCAGCCCAACCGAGCTGGGGTCTGGGGAGGGGAGCAGCTCCTCTGCCTAGAGCTGCTTTCAGGCTGGTGCAGTGAGGGCAGGGCTGTTGTCCTGAGGTCTCTTGTTTGGTGGAGGCAAAGAAACACACCGGGGATGCTGGTGGAAGTCCTTAGCGTGTTTGGTCTTGTCCTGCTCCTTGGGACAAGGCCAACCTTGGGATTGACACTAACTGGCTCTCTCCTGCTTTTACAGGGAAGAGGAGTTACATCGCTCCAACACCTCCACTCCAGCAAAATCAGACAAGGAGCTGCAAACAGAGAAAGGTGAGTGTAGGTGGGCCCCACCTCTGTGCCGGGCTTGGATGCTAGGAAGCAGCGGGACAGGAGGTACGCTGAGGTCTGCAGGTGGGATTGGTTTGAGATGTCACCTGGAAACTGGGAACGTGCTGGCCCCGAGGCAGTGGCACTTCTGCTGCCCTCAGCGACTGCCCTAAAGGGGTTTCCAGGTGATGAGCAAGGGGTGGTGACTGCATCGGTGTGCTAGCACATGTGTGGGAGCTGGCCTGCAAGGAGGAGCACCAGCCCCCCAGGCCAGCATGGGTCCAGGCGTCAGCCTTGGGGCAAGATCTGCTGTGATACAAGTAGCACCTTGATCAAATTCAAGGCTGAGCTTATTCCAGCACTAAAACGGAGAGGAAATCTTTTGTGTCCATCACAGATTGGTCCAACTACAGATAGCAGTTTGCGTGGTTTGTGGTTCGGGTAGGCAGTGTGCAAGGACCATCCGTGGAGTTGAGACAGGGCTGCTGCACTGCAGAGCCCCAGCAGAGTCTTGTAACAGACTCCCCCAGGATGTGTGGCAGCCAGTTACTTTTCCAGGGCATCACAGCCTTGCCATCAGCTTAACGTCATGCCCCTGCCTTTGCCCTCTGAGATGGGTCATCCGGAGAGGAGTCAGAAGGGACAACCCCACTGGTACAAGGCAGACACCTCTGCCCGCAGCTGGTCCTGACTTGTCTCCTTCTGTAGCGGTGGAGACGCCGGTGCGGAAGAGGCGGAATTCCCCGAGCCCACAGTCCACGTCGCAGAGCAGTGGGACGCGCAGGCGGAAGATCCAGTTGCTGACGCCTAACCTGGCGGAACCGCTGGCGCTGGTACGTCGCTGTCTCGCAGCCCCTTTTGCCCTCCTCTGGCGATAGAATGTGCTCACTGCAATTTCTGCAGGGCTGGGGGGAGACTGACCTGCCTGCCCTCAGGAAGGAGGCCCCGTCCTTGGCCGAGTGGGAAGTGACGCTATCCCCAGCCCCAGTGTCTGGTGGGCTGCGCGTGATTGTGCTGCCTGCTGCCGGACCAGGTAATGGCCTGGGGAAGGCCTGCCGTGCCCTCAGCGCCAAGCCGGGGACCAAAACGAATGGGGATCGGAGCTCCGCGGTAGCGTGCTGTGGCAGAACCACCTGCTTCACGGGTCTTGCGACGGCCAGCCTTCACCACACCTTCAGAGAGGCTCTGCTGGCTTCCCTGAGAAGGAGCTAAGCTGCTGCTCTCTCTTGGCAGCCCCCGCCACCTCAGCTGGGCTACTCCATCACGGCGGAGGACCTGGACGCGGAGAAGAAGGCAGCGTGGCAGTGGATAAACAAATTCTTGGAGGATAAGACTGGTAAGGGCAGACTGGGAACGCAGAGGAGGTGGCAAGGAGTAGAAACCCCAGGGCTGGGGTGGGCGAGCCAGTGGGGTGTCCATGTAGCACAGGCTGGGGGAGCTTCTGGGCCAGTCCTGCCTGGTCCTCAGGTTTGGGGATCCTCTTGCTGCCTTCAGGCTCAGGAGAGCTCATGCCCCAGAGCAGTGGGTGAAGTTCCTCAGAGCCAGAGCTGTGGGATGTTTGTGCAGTTTCCCTACCCGCTGGGGAAGCTCCGCTAAGGGGTAGTCCCCTACAGCAAGTCGCAGATCCTGATTGCTTCCTCCTTCCCCGTAGATGCGGTCCCCAGCACCACTGCAGAGACTACACCCGTGTCCAGTCCACTGGCGTTCGCTGTGACCTCCCCGGCGCCTGTGCCTACCTCAACAGCTCCTGTCCCGGCCAGCACCAACTTGCTCTTGGACAGCCTGAAGAAGATGCAGAGCAGCCAGGCTGTGCCTGTGCCAGCAGGTGAGGAAGAGGAGGGTTGTTGGCAGAGCGGGACTGTGGCAGAGCCAGGCAGGCACAGCAGGAGCTCTGTGTTGCCTCTGTGGGAGACAGCTGGCAAAACTCCCTGTTCAAATGCTCCGCTGGCAGGCAGGTCTTGAGGGGGGTGACTGGGGACACTGAGCCTGTGGTCCTCTTGGGAGCTGTGGTAGCGTGGAGAGCTGGGTCTGTCTGGTAGAGGCAGGAGGTGCTCCAGGAGCCTTTGCAGCAGCGGGGTGGCTGCCTGGCAGAATGGCTGTCTGTCTGTAGGTGAACCCCTGTCCCTAATTACCCTCTCTTCTCCTTCCCAGACTCCACTGGAGCTGCAGTAGCATCCCAGCCTCCTTCATCAGCCGCACAGCTGCCCGCTCCTGCGCGGGGGTCGTTTCCTCTGCCGCCCCCCTCCGCCGCCCCCAAGCCTGTGCCCGTGTTGAGCACGCCTGCCCCTACTGCCCCCCTCGCCTTAGGGGCGCAGACCCCCAACAGCCTGGCATCTCCGGCATTCACAGAGCTGGGCCAGACCCCCAGTAAGCCTCCCTCTTTTCCAAAGCCGAGCATCCTTTTCGGGATGCTGAACACCCCTCCTGCCAGCCAGCTGGCAACAACCACGACTGCTGCTGTGCCCACCACAACCGCTGCTGTGCCCACTGCGACCACTGCTGGGCCCACCACAACCCCCGTCTTCAAACCCATCTTTGGCGCTTTGCCGAAAAGCGAAAGCACAGCACCCTGTACAGCTGTTGTCTCTGCCTCGGTCACCGTGCCTGCGAGCTCAGGCCCTTCTTCGACGT